AGAACACCTGGAGAGCACCTGGAGAACACCTGGAGAACACCTGGAGAACACCTGGAGAGCACCTGGAGAACACCTGGAGAACACCTGGAGAGCACCTGGAGAACACCTGGAGAGCACCTGGAGAGCACCTGGAGAACACCTGGAGAGCACCTGGAGAACACCTGGAGAACACCTGGAGAGCACCTTGAGAACACCTGGAGAACACCATGAGAGCACCTGGAGAACACCTGGAGAACACCTGGAGAACACCTGGAGAACACCTGGAGAGCTGGCACAGGAAGAACAAGCTTCACATCGATGTGAAGAAGACGGAGGAGATGGTCGTGGGCTTCAGACAGAACAAACACCTACATTTGTTGACTGAAGCTTTAAATTCAAGACAAACATTCAAAGACTTTCTGAGAGAATAATAATGTTATAAAAGAGAAACAAACAACTTTAAATCTTCTTCTAAAGTTGTTTCTTGTTTTCTGTCTGTTTTCAATCTTTCATCTAAATGTTCTGCTTTGATTTCTTTCATCTGCGTTTATTATTATTATTATTATTGTTAATTTATTATGTTATTGTTCATAGGGGCAGCACGGTGGTGCAACTGGTAGAGCTGCTGCCTCTCAGCGAGCAGGTCCCTGGTTCAAATCCCGGTCCTTCTGGGTGGAGTTTGCATGTTCTCTCCGTGCATGCGTGGGTTTTCTCCGGGTACTCCGGTTTCCTCCCACAGACCAAAAACATGCATGTTAGGCTGATTGGTAACTCTAAATTGTCCCTAGGTGAGAGAGTGAATGGTTGTTTGTCTCGTTTGTCTCTATGTGTCCCTGTGATGGACTGGAGACCCCTCGCACAGTGATTGCTGGACATGGGCACTGGCGACCCCCGTGACCCAAAATGGAAGAAGCAGGTAAAAGATAATGGATGGATGGATGGATGGATGGATGGATGGATGGATGGATGGATGGATGGATGGATATTGTTCATTAGGTTTTAAACCCTGAATGTGAGTTTCAACAGATTAAAGTCAGCTCAGGTCCCTCCTGCAGCCAGCAGAGGTCCTCAACTCACCTGGAATAAAACATCTGGAAACACAAACTTAAAGATGATGCTGCAGAAACGTAAATCTGAATTAAACGTTTCATCTGAATACAGGTGTGATTTTACCCTCCTCATGTCTCACTCTGTCAGATAACGTCCTCATGTCTCACTCTGTCAGATAATGTCTTCATGTCTCATTCTGTCCAATAATGTCTTCATGTCTCACTTTGTCTGATAGCGTCTTCATGTCTCACTCTTTCTGATAACATTTTCACATCTCACTCTGTCAGATAATGTCTTCATGTCTCATTCTGTCCAATAATGTCTTCATGTCTCACTTTGTCTGATAGCGTCTTCATGTCTCACTCTTTCTGATAACATTTTCACATCTCACTCTGTCTGATAATGTCTTCATGTCTCATT